TGTGAACGTGACTTGAACATGACTCGCAATGTGGCCAATCAGGTTGGACTATGGGCTGTTATTTGCGATGAAGCCAGTCAGTATTTATTGGGTGTGGTCGAGGGTTATAAATTGCACTGGAAACACGGAAATAAAGGTTCACTTGTTAGATCACATTGATCGTGTCAGTGTCCTCACTCAGCTCCCGCAGTTTAGCTTATTTAATTTTCCTCTTTCTTTTCGATGAACGCTATTTTCTTCACCTCTTAAAATACTTCATTTCCCCAAAAGAAAGGGAAATAGTTCCCCTGTTATATCCCATCACTAGGTTCTTCCTAGCCACTCCTGACAGCAAAACAGAAATCAGTAGCTGTTTAAAAGGTTCTTACTGTTCAGAGGACACCTCAAACCATTTGACCCAAAAGGACGTTAAATTCCCTCAGCACCCTCAGCTTATACCTGTTAGTATAAGCATTTTGTGAAAAGCAAATTCCTTCAGATGCACAACTTCCTGTTAATTTCTTTCCCAACCAAGGTCAGTAATAGAGGTAATGCCTACTTCTATCTAACCTTCTGGATAACTAAAGACAATCACCATTTGACAGAAAAGATACAGATGATCTCTTGAGGATAAAGATTCAGTTAAACAAAGGCAAGTGTGTTACTGCATAAAAGAAACCAAACTGTTAAGATACATTTACACTATTCTACATATGACTCTACCTTTTCACTTTCAATACATGCATGAGATTTAGAAAGTTGTTTGGGTGTTTAGGTTTAGGTAGAACTGTTGCTATTTCTTTGCAACTTTCAATAAACAGTGTACAATCAAAAACTAAATTTTCTGTTTATATAAATGGTAAGATTGTAGCGGATATATTATTATTTATCTGCCTTGTTGAGAGAACGTTCACACAACTACCACCAGTACAGGCGTGAGATTTGGCATATTTAAGAAACAGCAGCTGCACCCTTTGTTTGTTGATGTATCAGTCAGGATCAAAACCACACACTATTTTAGGTGAATGGAGAGGTTGCTGCATGCATGTTCTTAAGAAGCACTGCTCTAAGCTTGAAAGAGTATTCTCTATGTATTAAAATACCATCATAACTGTCGGCTTTCCCAAAACCAAAACATGCTAGCATATGTGTAAAGGTCCATACTGGACATACCCTTCCCTCTCTATTTATTTCCCCTCCCCAAAAGAAAAGAGGTAAGCTCTGCAGCATGCTCTGAACAAAAAATTTGGGTTATTTCAGATTTAAAAAACCCCAAGCTTCAAAGTCTAGAACCTCTCAAAACCATCAATAAAACAATAAAAACAGAAAACAATAAAAACCCCACCACCTTGTCAGCAGCTATCTCCCTAGTTACACCAAAAAGCCTATTAACATGGAAATTCTTACAGTGTTTGAATTCTACACCATCATACACATAATTCGGCTAGGATGAAACGGCAATCTGCATGGGGGATATCCCTTGTTTAAGGGCAGCTAGGTTCCGTAACTTTTAAAAATAGTTAGGAAAATAAATAAATTAAAAGTAATATGCTTAGAAATACCTTTTCATATGTTAAAAAAAACCTTTTAATATCAGTAATATATCCTGTTATTTGGCTTATCACTTCTGTTTGCTATTTTTTCATTTTCGCTATTAGGTTTTGTGCCCAGACACTCAAAAGAAACCCCTTCCCCCTTTAACAGTCCAGAAATGGAAGCTTAATGGGCAAGAATATTGTTTTCACCTCTCCAATTAGAATGTCAATCCACATGTTTGAGTTTCCACATAATAAAGACTTTTATTTATATAAAAGCAATGAGATGCAAAACAATTTTACAACTCCTACAAAAGTGAAGTATAAGCAAAAAATATCAATTATGACTTGTACTCATAACTTTACAAAAGCATTTATCAGTTACACTGACTGCATAACTGCAGTTATAACAATCTCTTGCAAATACAGGAAGCCTACTACATATTGTCAAATTTTACTTTGCCATCAGCATAAATCCATGTGACTCATTACCTTTTTTTTTCTACAGGTATCTTCTAAAGCAACACTAGAATGCAGACACCAACAGAAAAGACAGAAGTGTTAAAAATATTAACAATATATTTCAAAATTATTAGAAAGACATTATTTACTGTGTTATTCCTTGGCTCCTACTGCTGTAACTATATCACTGTTTATAAACTGTAAAGTTTTTAAGCCTTAATTCAAACAGTTGATTTACTGTATTGGACTGTACTGTATTGGCTGCACTTGTGGAATCCAAACTACTGAGCCATCTGCACCACAACTGCTTTCCAGGCTTTGTCTTTGTCAAAATCCTTCAAGGTATTATTGGAAACCTAAAAGTAAACAAATTTCAGACAAATGGAAGCATGAAACAATGCTTTGGTTAAAAAGTGAAGGTCAAGCAAATAAATATGTGAGAGAAGCTGGGAGAATGTAAACATGAATAGTTACAATCAGAGCTATTGAAATATTCCATATACTGTAAATTGTATAGTTTTGTATATGCTATAGGTTACATTTATGATATTAAAATAGTGTAAATTGCATAATACTTGGGCCAAAGAAACTTGGACAAATTCCTATTTTAAACATGTTACTTAGGACGTTTTTTCAAGATTTCTGCCAAAATGTGACTGAAAGCCCTAGCACCTAAATCTCTAAACCCAAAGTCAGAAGTAGCCCCCTACAATGCAACTGAAGCAGGATTTATCTACATACATGCAAGCAAACTAAGGTCTTGCCTAACAACACAGACTTCTGAGAAGCCAAAGCGGTCTACAACTTCACCTGTAACAATATCAGTGTGTTTAAATACTAAAACGTAAGCAAAAAGGTGTTGCTTTTCTGGACAAAGTGCTCCTTTTAGCATTTAACTCGCACCCAATTTCTCAGTGACTTACAAGCTAGGAACACTTACGTACACAATCCCTGGAATAGACCTGTTTAGCCATGCCATGACCTATGCTCCAAAACGTGACTTGCAGCAGTGGAAGTGCTGCTGTGCTTCAGCTTTTATACAGAATGTAACTCTCGGACAGATCCAGAAAATACACAACCTACGCTGAATGCCCTCAGCAGCCTGACAGCTTCCACTTACCACTACCAGTTCTATAACGACTTGACTGAATTTCATTCCCTGCTCCCAATGCTTTCTATCCAGTGCTGTTTCAATGGAGATGCTCTTTCTAGAGCAGGGACTGAATCCAGCACTCTCTCTTTCTAGTGCTGGGCCATGCAGTAAGCATCCAGCTAACATGAGTTACTCCCTCCTAGTCTTTAAGGATACAGCGCTTTGCTCTGTACAGCAGAGGTGAGGAAAGCCTAAGGGCTGCAGTGCAGTGCTAGGAGACAGATACAGTTAGCGTACACAGGCTGAAGGAAGTGGCAACAGTAATACTGGCACCACCACACTCTAAAAAAAAGTATGTGCCAAATCTGTATCTGAAAGGAAAGCTTCAACAGGTAAGTGGAGGAGGGAAATGGAGGCAAATACCAATTCTGATCTTTATCACCAGTAGTGTAGTTAGGACATGGAGAGACCTGGGATTCCAGTCACCCTCCTCTGCACACTACTTCATATTGTCCAGCACAGGTAGCCACTCACTCAGCTTGGCCATTTCTGTTCCTAACCTCCAGGTTCTTAACTTTTCCCATTCAAAGTTTAGGGAACTTAGCAAAATCAGGGAGCGTAGTAAATTCACTCCCCCTCAGCAAGCCTTGGAAAAGTACAACTATATTGAGTACTCTCATTCCATGGCCCAAAACTCCTGCTCATATTGAAAGGGTTAAATCCATTCCTTTCTTAATAGGTGGCTATCTCACTATCAGAACATGGTCATGCCAGGCCCATCATCTTTTCTATAACTTCATTCAGACATATAAATAGCAATTATGGATCTGCGTCCTGTGGAGTAGGACTATCATTTTATCTTAGTGCAATGATGAAGCTCATCTGTAATTGGGAGTCCATACTACAAATCAAAACAAAAGGGGCTTTAACCTTGCAACTGTTTTTCTCTTAATGGCACTTGTCCCAGATTTACAGATATTGTGTCTGTCATGCCCCAGTTGTCATTTAACCAGCAAACTATTACCTCTTCATTACAAAATTCACCTGTGCATTGACATCTTCACAGTTTTACACAGCAACTTTTAACTGTCATCTGAATTAAGTAACACTAAACATTATCAAAAAAACCTCCAGATTTTTAAATTTTATAATGGGTATAAATATATACCTCTGTTGTTCTGTATTCCTGTTTTTTAACCTGTGATGCCATCCACGATGAATCATGTAGCTTCATTTTTGTCTTGTAATTTACACACTGTATTACCGTTCCGATAGTAAGGCAAGCCTGAATTAGCAGCATCAACATCAGAAGCAACAGGAGTACATCATAAGATTGCTGAAAATAGAGACATGAATGTCATTAACTACATGAATAAAATATTTTCTGCTGTTGCCACCCCATATTCTTGAGATTTGTATCTAGATTTCATTTTCTAAGTCAAATTATAATTTACAGTTTATTTTAGCATGAAGCTTCAATTAAAATTTGAGTGCCTGAGTTTGCTCAAAGTAGAAGAGATCAATAATTTTTAACAAAATGTTAATTTGCCAAATGATCTTTTCCTCTAGAAATAGGACAGGATTGAGAAAACCATCCTCTAAAATATAGAGCCTCAGTACTGGTTCTGACCTGAGCAATGCTGCAGCTATGCCTGGGCCTGGCTGGCTCTGACCTTGCCCTGCTGACCCGAATTCCTGGCTGACCTCAGGTTGCCTTACTCCCATCGTCCTGTCTGCCAATCACTGAACTGTTGGCTGAACCTGGTTACCATGGCCAGACCTGCCGCCTTTTTTTTTTTTTTTGGCAAGGACTGCACTCCTTGCCAATGAGGCCAGGGTCCTTGTGTCACTGTCACCTTTCGCTCCATTGTTCACCCTCCTTTGCAGAGCAGCCCATCCTGCTGCATCCAGACACAAAGTAGCATGAGAAGGTAAGTGCTCTGCAGGTTCACACTAGCTGTCTAGACAGTCTACTCTTATGTCTCCAACCTGTGCAACAGGAGAGGCTACTTAAAGAGAAAGTCTAAGCCACTTCCTGAGGTCCAACAACACACTATGCTCCTCCAGTATCAGAACAGGATCACATACTCAAAAGCTGGTTTTCCAGTCCCTGAGGTCTGTTTAATAAACATTTTCCCTCTCTTCTTCTAAAATTACAAGACTACTTAAGGACTAGTGGGTACTAAGAGTCAAGAGTCTTATTGACACTATTTTAAAACCCATAAACTGTTCTTTGAGCATCGTCACAAATCACTAAACACTTTGATGGTAAAGCCCTAGAAAGCTCTTCAGCAATGCACTGGTAACACTTCATATTGAAATGCTTTAAGATTTGCACTTTTTTTCTTCTCTGCCCCAGTACAGGCTTTGAATGACTCCAGGTATAAGGTTACAAACCCAACTGTTGGCAGACATCAAAAGACACAGAAAAATGCATTCTTCAAACAAACCTAAAATCTTTAATTCATGTACTACAAGTTTATAAGAACCTCAAGGAGTCTAGCACATCACATATTATTTTTACTGATTCTTTAGAAAAATATCCCTTTTTTATTAAACTATAATTCCAGGGTGGCAATAGATTTTACATACTTAAAATTACATCATTAGATAAATAAGTTTTTGAACGAATTCTGTAACATTTTATTCAACCTTTATAATGCAATACCTTGTCGTCTTCTACTTCCTAAATCATTCTTGTGTTGCTACTGTAATACATAATGTTAATTTTTCAATTGCATAAAAATACATACTTTAACAGCAGGTGGGTAACTTTTAAAGATGTCAACCACTTGCATGATACTGAAGGACAAGTATGCAGAAGCGGTGAACAACAATGGAGAAGTAACACTGCTAATGGCAATCAGGACCTCAACCTAAAAAATAAGACAATAAATGTTAAATAAGAATAGAAACAAGTTAATACTTTGGTTTGTGAGCTGTATCTCCTGGAAGGAAGCATAACAGAAGTACGTGGAAGTGTGTAAGATTACACATCAGACAAATATTACGAGCCATCCACATTGCATGGAGATACAGAAGCAAGTTTGAATAAATTAAGTTTCCCAGACAAAACACTGTTGTTTTGTAATTCATTTTCCATTTAATATAGATGATGGGGGGTTTTGTTTGATTTTAAAAGTGCTTTTCATATGCAGACAAAGGAAGCGGTACCCAATTTAGAGAGCCAGTATAGAAGTATCATTTATTCTTCAGTTTGTATGAAATAATGAGAATTAACAGCAGACATTGCAGACTTAAAAACCTAAAATAACTATGCAAATAAATTTGAGTGCTTTGAGGCAAATTTATTGCCATACAATAGCAGCTGAGTTTTCATTCAAATATCATCCCTACACAATCAAATTCTGACTTCAATTGTGGTCATGCATCATTACTGACTTAAATATGGTTGCATGACTATAACTTAAAACACATGTTTTGAGGAGGCTTAACTACACATCTGGGTCAGTCAAGGAGTAAATGCATTCTACTGAATATTCTTACTCCTTGTTGCTTGTCATGCAGATGAGGAATTTGTTTAAAATAGGTTCTAGGTCCAGTGGAGCCTGCATATGTAATCTTCTTCTTTCAGAAACCACAGCTCATAATGAAAGGAGAATTAAATGGAAAGGACCTCAGCTCACGAGCATGAAATCAGTTCTAGGCATACCATATGAGGTATTACGTTTTCCTACAGTAATACCCATTTCCAGGGAACAGTACAAAAAAAACAAACCACATCAGTTCTTTGAATTCTTTTCTAGAATTAGTGGAATTAAGTCTCCAAAGGACCTACTGGATTTCTTTTCAGGAATATCCCTTTAGAATCATAGAAGCATTAGGTTGGAAAAGACCTTTAAGATTGTCAAGTCCAACCATCAACCCAACACCAGCATGGCCACTAAACCATGTCCCAAAGTGCCACATCTACCCGTTTTTTTAACACCTCCAGGGATGCTGAATTCACCACTCCCCTGGGCAGCCTGTTCCAAT